TCAAAAGTTATAACCAATGTCAAGGATTTCAACAAAAGCAGACCAATTCCCAAAAGGTCTTCAGACCAAAGTTAAAGTGTTTTTAAAGGGGTCAACTTCGAGGTCAAGGTCCATAGCTTATGTTAGAACCGAAAAATGCATCTTCGCTAGCCAAGGGTTTTCGATACGCACCGCTCGAGATCCCCATAAACGTTTAAGGGAAGCGGTGCGGACCGAAAGCCCTTGGCTGGCGAACATGCGAAAAATGTCATTGTCACAAAAATATACCGACATATCAAATACGAAAACCATGATTCCAACCAATCAAAAGTTATGGGCAATTTTAAAGTTTTTGCAGACAAACTGACATACATGTACTAGCATTTGTGAGCATTTTCCATTACATGTATATACTTATGTCCCGATTTTCAGAACTTAGAGATCGACTATATTGTACACAAGTATACCGGTATTGTACTGGTCACATGCATACTAGTATACATGTACTTTTATGGAAATATAAAATCTTAATTAAACTTTAATTAGCTGCAGAAAATTTAACGGTCAGGACATCCCTTTCCCCAGTACATTATTGATTAGCTGCAATAATGTAGCCCTCTCCCCCTTTTTTTAACATCAGATAAAAAAAAAATCGGACAGGGCTACATTATTGCAGCTAATTACTGATCTGTATAGGAAATAACAACCCCGGGTTCCCCACCCCCTAAAACCCTAATTAGATGTTTTAAACTAAATGACATATAAAAATGTTGAAAAAATTATAAACTAAGAGCATCTCAACATGTTTTCTGCAAGCTAAATTCAATTAAAAAACTGTCCATTTCTTAAGTTCTGTAGAATTAGCTTTTTCCCCTATGAATATATTTCAAGGTAATATTGTTTTTTATTTAGCCTCAGACGAAATATTAAACTGACAGCTGACTGCTCAAGGCCATAAAGGCAACCAAACCGTGTGAAGGTTATACTAAAAGTGCTTATAAACAGAAAAAGCGGTTAAAACCATCTAAAAGTAGTTTGATATTACGTAGTCCACCGTAAAACGAAGTTTAAGGCCACGTTGAAATCGTTTGTTCTTGTTGATAAGACTTGTGCTCTAAAGTATATTCGGACTTATATTCTTTGTAAATGTACAAAAAAAAAAAGTTAAGGTTTTTTTTTAAAGCGGAGAAAGAAAATTAAAGGAAAAAATAAACTCATTGTTCAATATTATTATTAACAATATTTACAGAAATCAGAAATAATCTTTCTTGGTATTAAGTAATAATAATGTGTTTTGTTGACGTATACTTGAACAATAATTAAGCTCATAGCATTTATCAACAAAATAAATGAAAATTACACATCTTGATGTAGAGAACATACCCATTACTTGTGCTTTTATACGGGAATAGAACTGAAGAAACGTTTACCGGACAAAGAGTCAGACGACGAACACTTTATTATGGAACGCCGTAACTGCCTTATGTGGAGAACTTTCATTATGTGCTGGTACTTTGACATTATATGATGGTATTTTATCATTATATGATGGTACTTTGTCATCATATGATGGTATTTTGTCATTATATGATGGTATTTCGTCATTATATGATGGTATTTTATCATTATATGATGGTATTTTGTCATTATATGATGGTATTTTGTCATTATATGATGGTATTTTGTCATTATACTACTTTTCATTATACTACTTTTCTTTATACTACTTTTCTTTATACTACTTTTCTTAATATGGTACTACTTTTTCGTCATTATTTGTAGTCTCGATCATCCAGACGCTTGTCTATAACACAAATTCGCTGTTCCTAGACTGGCAGTACGAAATCGAGGATCAGACAGGTAAGCCAGTCTAGGTATCGTAACAGTATTTCACTTGGGTTCACGTCAAATCATGGCTGACGCAAAATAATCACGGAATCTTCCCTTCCGATTCGGGCATTTTGATACGAGAATGGAGCTGAATTTTTCGATGAGATGCAAAACAACATGTAAACTTCCTGTATTGACCAGATTTTTTAAAATTTAATGCGTAATATAATGACAAAATACCATCATATAATGACAAAATACAATCATATAATGACAAAATACCATCATATACTGATAAAATACCATCATATAATGACAAAATACCATCATATAATGACATAATACCATCATATAATGATAAAATACCATCATATAATGACAAAATACCATCATATAATGACAAAATACCATCATATAATGACATAATACCATCATATAATGATAAAATACCATCATATAATGACAAAATACCATCATATAATGCAAAATACCATCATATAATAATAAAATACCATCATATAATGACAAAGTACCAGCATATAATGAAAGTTCTCCACATAAGGCAGTTACGGCGTTCCATAATAAAGTGTTCGTCGTCTGACTCTTTGTCCGGTAAACGTTTCTTCAGTTCTATTCCCGTATAAAAGCACAAGTAATGGGTATGTTCTCTACATCAAGATGTGTAATTTTCATTTATTTTGTTGATAAATGCTATGAGCTTAATTATTGTTCAAGTATACGTCAACAAAACACATTATTATTACTTAATACCAAGAAAGATTATTTCTGATTTCTGTAAATATTGTTAATAATAATATTGAACAATGAGTTTATTTTTTCCTTTAATTTTCTTTCTCCGCTTTAAAAAAAAACCTTAACTTTTTTTTTTTGTACATTTACAAAGAATATAAGTCCGAATATACTTTAGAGCACAAGTCTTATCAACAAGAACAAACGATTTCAACGTGGCCTTAAACTTCGTTTTACGGTGGACTACGTAATATCAAACTACTTTTAAATGGTTTTAACCGCTTTTTCTGTTTATAAGCACTTTTAGTATAACCTTCACACGGTTTGGTTGCCTTCATGGCCTTGAGCAGTCAGCTGTCAGTTTAATATTTCGTCTGAGGCTAAATAAAAAACAATATTACCTTGAAATATATTCATAGGGGAAAAAGCTAATTCTACAGAACTTAAGAAATGGACAGTTTTTTAATTGAATTTAGCTTGCAGAAAACATGTTGAGATGCTCTTAGTTTATAATTTTTTCAACATTTTTATATGTCATTTAGTTTAAAACATCTAATTAGGGTTTTAGGGGGTGGGGAACCCGGGGTTGTTATTTCCTATACAGATCAGTTATTAGCTGCAATAATGTAGCCCTGTCCGATTTTTTTAATCTGATGTTAAAAAAAGGGGGAGAGGGCTACATTATTGCAGCTAATCAATAATGTACTGGGGAAAGGGATGTCCTGACCGTTAAATTTTCTGCAGCTAATTAAAGTTTAATTAAGATTTTATATTTCCATAAAAGTACATGTATACTAGTATGCATGTGACCAGTACAATACCGGTATACTTGTGTACAATATAGTCGATCTCTAAGTTCTGAAAATCGGGACATAAGTATATACATGTAATGGAAAATGCTCACAAATGCTAGTACATGTATGTCAGTTTGTCTGCAAAAACTTTAAAATTGCCCATAACTTTTGATTGGTTGGAATCATGGTTTTCGTATTTGATATGTCGGTATATTTTTGTGACAATGACATTTTTCGCATGTTCGCCAGCCAAGGGCTTTCGGTCCGCACCGCTTCCCTTAAACGTTTATGGGGATCTCGAGCGGTGCGTATCGAAAACCCTTGGCTAGCGAAGATGCATTTTTCGGTTCTAACATAAGCTATGGACCTTGACCTCGAAGTTGACCCCTTTAAAAACACTTTAACTTTGGTCTGAAGACCTTTTGGGAATTGGTCTGCTTTTGTTGAAATCCTTGACATTGGTTATAACTTTTGAACAGTTGGCGTTGGTGTTTTTACATTTCATAAGTGCATGTATTTTGTAATAAGACCATCCCCTGAGTAGCATTAATTCAAACTGACCTTGAAGTTTGACCTTGCAGTTTGACCTACTCTTAAAAAAATAATTTTGGTTATAACTTTAAAAAGGTTGGTGCTTGGTGTTAGATATTTCACGGGTTTATCATGTTAATTGAAATACTAGTAATTCCTTTCATTTGTCATCCCTTGACCTTGGAGGTTGACTTGCAGTATTCGAGAAACCTTAACTTTCGCCATAAGCTCTCATAAGGGGACATCAGTGTTTCAGAAACACATCTTGCTTTAATATATACATGTATAGAAAGAAAATCTGTGTCAATTGTAACAGTCCTTGGATTTATAAAGGATTTCTCTGACTTAAAATTCTGCTTCTTTTTGTGTAAGAAGATGTAGCAATATAAAAGAGGAGTTTATAGTCAGAGGAATCTCGAATTATCCCTGTGTACATGAAGTCCAGGGGTGTAGTTCCTGTCCACAAGTATCTGTCGGGAAGTTTCGGGGATATGAATCTGTTAATCCGCTGAATGTTTTACGTTGCAAATAATTTTTTAACTATTAGTGCTATTGATTTCATATTCACGTGCATTCCTTGCATAAACTAGGCATTTCTTTCGGTACCAACATATTCGACATACTTTTGCAAAATTTTATCAAACTTGGACCTTGTTCATATTTAATGTACGTTTGAACAAGTGGTGCTAGGACTTTCATTTTTCACGCACCCATAGTTTATGCTCAGACGTTTCTATTGGTACCATCGGTATTTGGACCTTGAATTTTTACCTACTTCTGAAAATCTTTAAACTTATATAGACATAACTTTTGGTCCTTTGTTAGAAGTGTATTCCTTGTTACTAAGTCCTTCTTTAGATACCAACATTTTTTCCATACCTTAATCTTTGACTTTGAAATACATTTTTCATATTAATCTTGCCTTTAACTTATGCAAGTTTGGTACAAAGGGTTTCATGCTTCACTTATCCATTTCTTGTGAGAAAAATATATAAGTAAATGCACACTCAGGATTTCAAAATCAAACTTTTCCCAGTTCATTCAACTTCATTGTTTTGAGCCATGTTCACAAACCTAGGTATATATAACGGTTTCAACAGAAAAAATAATTCTGCATCGAGTTAGAAAAAACAATTTAATAACAAAGTAAAAACAAATATATATATATAAAGGTATAAATTGTGTTTTTGTCAGTTGACACGAGTGATTTTATCACAAATACATGTACATAATGGAATGTGAGCGCGCTGTCGATCTGTCACATCACTGCAGTGAGGTACTCCGGCACTAGTGTTTTCTGAAAGTCACATTCAAGTATTTCTCGATCAATTGGTTTGACCAATTTAGGGAAGAGCTTGATGGACTAGACATCACAGAACCAGTCTAGGATGGTTCTTTTCGAATTTACCGTTAAGTGAAATTTTGAGATTCAACTCTTCCAAAATTAAGATTCCCGTTTCTTCGTTTCATAAATCATCCTCACAGTTAGGGAATGGAGTGTGAACTATATTGCACTAAGCCACATTTTTTTTTTGTAAGATGAAGCCCTATTTCAGCATACTTTGGCACATGGAATGTCCAGATGATGACGTCACTGGTCATCGCTGCCCGACCCACACATGTTTATCTGCATGCCGGACGTTATGATTTATGTCATATTTATCAGATTTTCCCTCCATTTTCCAAATTTGTACTCCTTTTGCTTGTTTTGTAACTGGAATGAGAAAAAATAAATATTTTTAATTTCTTGTATATATGAATACTGCAAACGTTTTCATTAAGGGGGTGGGTGGGTGTTACATTAAATTAAAAAAAACAACTCTGTAAATGAGGATGTTTTGAATACACTTCTTACACTTCTTGAGAAAAACCTTTTTTATGACAGAAACTGAAAAACCTGTTTATAAGATCAGACTACATAGACGCTGGAAGACGTACCTTTTCTGAAGAGGAACTGTCCAATTTTCGTTACAGCTCCAAACAGGAAGAAAAGTAATATTCCATAGAAATAGCAGATCAGGACAAGCACCATCCCTTTGACTTCCCCGCCCGTCTCCCGGGGGACATCGTAACGTTTACTGGCAGTCTGCATCCTTCTCAAATACGTCTTTGCTAGGCTCCTATAAAAAAGGTACAATATTAACGTTAAAATACGACCCTTTATTAAATAGGGCGAACATGCTGACTTAGCTTAGTATATATGTACCTGGTGATAATATGCATGCACGGCCAAATTCCACACGCGTGGTAACGGCATGTACGGGGTCAAACACGTTTCAGGTTATTTTAATTCAGTGTTTTAACTCCAAAAATATTTTTATTTTAACATAATCATGACAATATTTTACCAATATCTTTAAATATTAATTAGTTTTATGTCCAAACTAAATTTATTTAAGATCTTTAACCAGGTTTTGCAAATGATAAGTCTATTAGAGAATTTATCTTCAAGTGTATGCTTTTTATTTTTAGCTCTTTGATAAAGCCATTGAAGATCGTTAAACAAAATCTATGTTTCTCTTAAATTAAGTTCATATAATAGATTACATAATTGAGATAACATTTACACAATGGTCAAGGATTAAACGCGTAAGAACATCACGTTAAAATGAAACCTGTATTTTCCTTGATAAACAGCTGATCAAGGTTTCTATCACGTATGCAACAGACTCTATATATATACTTGTAACAAAGGTAGGTAAAATTCCCCTACATCATTTGCATATTCATATGTTTGACCTCTACTTTATTTATACCTGGAAAGCATGGCCCATAAGCATGTGCATGCACTGACGGCTATTGAATCGATTAATTAATTAATAATATATATATATACTGCCTAAGTGCCTTAATTATTTCCTTTTGCCTAATATGATACGTAATATATTGTGTTTTAGCATCATCATTTGAGAACTGTTCAGTCATGAATTCACATTTTATTATATTTATTTACTACAGTATAGATAAACTTCTCACATGCCTGGTAAAAATACAGAGCAATATATATCAGTTTTTTCCCCTAAATTATGTATACATGTTAACATAAAAATTTCAAATTTTAATATTTAATTAATGGTTACTTGCAATTGAATATAAAAACTGGATTAAAATAAAAATATGCATTAAATATAGATATGCATTAAACAATGCTAAAGCCCCAATGTAATTCATTGTAATTAATTAAGAAAAACTGAATACTGCTTCTGGAGAGAAGTTAAAAGACTTTTGAAAAGTCATATATTTTCAGAAGTAAACCAACACGTTTTACAGTGTTTTAGTTGTTGGTATAAATAATGTCCCTTTAAAATAATATAAACTGCTAAATGATAAAATACTTACAAACAAGTACAACTTGGAATGAAAAAATAATCACCGGCACATCTAGAGAACACATGTATAAACTTCCAGCACACACGAAGAAGTGCACTTTCTGCAAGCTCTCCTTCATGTTTTGTTCAAAATTCCTTGAACCACGATTCGGTTCGCCTGTAAACACGTGCGCAATTTAGCGTAAAAACCTCGCTGATCACGCCGTGGACATGTTGAACTTTGGACTCTGTTATGGTCGGGACCAATGGAATGAGTCATTTCTGTCCATTACCTACAGTTGTTTACTATGTTACGTAACAGATAATAGACAAAAAGCCCGCGGAAGGGGTCCGTATGATGAAATCTAGCGGAAGGTTTGCATCAGACTGACGGCATGATGAAAAGGAAAATATCATGAAGAACTCACAAATAGTTTCTAGCCTTATTATTTCATATACTTAATTAGTTCCTCTTTGTTTTCTATTAATTAAATTCGAAAAGAAAGTTTAATGACCTATTTTTCATTGCTCGAAATATTAACACTCAGGAGGGGGGTCCAACCTTAATAATTAAATTTTAATTTTGTTATGTATCAAATTGTTTGTTGAAATGCCCCCTTTGTCTTCAAATAAAATTTTCTAAAACAAATTAATTTTTGCTGCATATCAAAGATTTTTCAGTTGTCAACTGTAGTTATTTTTTCTCCCCCCCCCCCCCCCCCCCCCCGCCCAAGAACGACGCAAAATGTACGAGCACGAAACTTTTTTCATTTTTTCATTTAAATCTTTGATTGAATTAAAATTGTATTTCATTATAATTAATATTCTTTATGGTATCATCCTGTAATTCCTTTGTAAATTTTCATTGTTAAAAACTTTCCATTGTTCGTTAAAAAAGTAGTATTTTAATATATCTATTTCTAATTTGTTTGCTAGTATTTACTTTCAACGCAAAGTGTTCCCTGAACTTTGCGATAAGATTACGTGCAGAGAAACATTTTCCGAAGTGCTTGTCATTTCAAGGCTCTTCAAGCTGTTCATTCACATTTGACACCAATAAGGTGAATTAACTTACCGCCAGGAATAGCTTTCAAACCAAGACTAAGTAATCGTTTTGATGTAATGTCTGAAAAGAATAAAAGACAAATTTGTAACAAGATTTTTTGGTCATTATTTAGCTCCAGCTGAGTGCTAACAGTAAAAGCTAGAATAAAATATAAATCTGATTAACTGATTTAAATAGATCGACCCTTCTCAAACTTAAACAGGTAATAAAAGCGATAAGTAACCCCCTGACGTGAACACTGTTAACTTTACATCCATACAGTATTATCATATTAAAAACAATCCACAGCTAAATAAAACTGGTTGTTTGGTCTTCTCCTTTATATTTATCTCCCTAAAGGGAGCAATGTACTACGGGAGCGATAAAATAACCTGAACACATCTGATTTTGCTCACAAATTCTTTTTTTAAAAAGTAGCGAAATAATACCACTAATAATAATTTTAAAAAAAAACTTTGAATACATTCTTACTAAAACAAATTGTGTTGAAATTTCCAGTAATTCTCTTCTTTATAAATTGGATTAATTGATAGATATTTTATATCGACACCGAACACAGGCACCCGACGTTACTTATTTTTCTTCCAATAAAGAAATTATACCCACCTAGTAATACATGCATTATTAGGTAGGGTATAATTTTTTTTAATTAAAAAGAAAAATAAGTAACGTAAAGGTACCCTGTGTTTCTGAAGAGTTAGAAGCAAGAGAGATAATTCAATGAATAACAAAATTAAAGGTTAATATTTCATTTTAGTTATTCCTCTTGAAGCTTTCAAGTGTTTTTACACTCCTCTTCCTTTTGGCAATTTGACTCAAAAGATTTATTTAAAATGAAAGAAAAATAACATTATCGTTTTTCATCAAGCTTTATTATACTTAACATCCACCTTACATGATGAAATACATAAAATTTGATCAGAAAATGTCTGACTTTCTTCTGAAACTGACATAAATATTCTTAAAAACAATTTACTTAACGTTCATAAATAGCGAATATTCCAAGGCAACAGAACTTTGGAAGCACACAAATCAATGATAAATGTGAGCCTTGTGTGGAAAAGACAGGCTTATAGCAGTATGTATGGGACAAATAACAGGAAATGAACTAAACAGTGTGGAAAAGGGGCAGATATTTTAAACAGTTTCAACATAATTTCAACATCTCTTTTCAGAAGCAGCTCAAGAAGTGAAATGTTGCAGAATCAGTGATGCCTCTAATCCAGAAATAATCTTCATTCCCACTAATGGTGGTATATATACACCAACAACACACCTATTCTCTTAACAAGTACATTTTTGTTCATTTTGCAACCATATATTACAAATCATATCTCAAAACATTGCCTACAGAAAATCTTTTATTTAACTTGACCAGTCAATGTAGCTTTTAAAATTACAATGGCAAATGCAGTAAATGTTGTAATCAATGGTTTCGGAACATGATAGTACTACAAGAAAACCAAAATATAGAAACAATCCATTTTCTGAACAATCAAAATACAGTTGAACTTCGGTATCTTGAACACTGAAATTTCGAATACCATGGATATGTCGAAGTGATTTGGAAGTCCCAACCACATATTCTTTAAGTATTTAACCTTCAATATCTCGAATCCTCGGATATCTCAAAGTTTTTTCTCAGTCCCATCAGGTTCGAGATAACGAAGTTGAGCTTGTATAATAGTGAACCTATGTAACCAAACCACTCATTTGATTTAACAATAACAATTAATACTGAAATACATCATAACACTTTTGAAAATTTCAAACATCAAATTCAATATTGAAGCATGAGCTTAACATGCAGGCAAAATATTAATAATGTGACTATTCATGACTCTCTTTTCAAATAAGCATTAATCATAATTGTGATTCCAGTGCAGGTATAAAAACTGCAGGAACATTAACTTTTTAAAAATTAAAATATGATCATTATAAGGGACAAATATCACAAATTAAAACTGGAATAAAAACAGATTTTGTGGAGAAAATAAATGCAAATAATCATAAACAAAGGTTTTCATTTTGAAGTCACTTGCATGTACATGTACTATGTATATAAAGCAAAGCTTATATAAGCAACTGGTAAACATTTTTCTCTTTTTCAATGTGAAATAACAATAAAGCAATATATAAACTACACTTTGCTTACATGCATATCAATTACTTATAGATGTTAAAATAAAATTGCATTTAATTTTTAAGTTTTTTTTTTAAACTTTTCATAAAAGTAATAACATTGCAAACAAAAGCAATATCAACAAAAATGGCAGTCAGTTAAATTTTAGTAAAAAAATACATTGTCTTCAAATGCTTTGCATTGTATTTAAATGTAATAAAAATATTCTAGTGACAGTGAAATGTGTTTGACTTTAAATGGCAGGGGGAGGGAACTACAAACGTCAACAGCACAAACTTGTTTGGCAAGAGTTATCTATCTTTGCATGCTTTTCACCATCACAATCTTTCTACATCTCCAGTGGAGATCTTCATGAAAAATCCCGAAGTATAAATTAAAACAAAGACACAAATATAGATATATATACTTTCTTAAAAATTCCAATAAAACAAAAATAAAGCATCTGAAATAGTCAACATTCAACCTTTGAAAAATAACTAAATATAAATAAAGAGTGAAAGATCTAAAATAAAGTATCTGCCATTAAAGCAATTAAAATTTAATTATTGATAGTGTCTATTCTTTCTAATTGCGGCCACATTCGGGGCACAAGATGTCTCCTTCGTTCATAAGGAAACCTTTCCCGACCATGGATGTGTCACATTTGTAACACACAAAACAGTCGCTGTGCCAGTGTCTGTCTTCAAATGAGATGAACTTGGTTCCTCCAAAACCTGGAATGTTTAAAAAAGATTAATTTCATTCCATTTGAATTGAATAAATATACTCTAATACTGATCACTAGCTAAAATTGTTTCTGAAATGTTGCCAGAATTACCAGCTTGATTTTTTTAAGGAAAAATAATTCTTCAAAAATTGAATGAGTTTTCTTTGGATATTTCTAAATTTTATTTCACACTACAATATATATACCTGGGTACACATTTTCAAATTCATAGCACATAAAGTCAGTCTTAGTAAGTAATCCTGTACATATTATAAGGGTAGGTTCGAATGGATCATTTATATTCAATCAATTAGATACAAATATATAGATCATGTGCATTTCTGGTCTTGACATTGATATTTTTCTCATTCTTTAGTTGGCAAATCAAGGCAATCATGCGAAAATGCATCATTGATAAGATTAGAATCCAGTGAAATAAAATTAACAGGATAAATACTGAAGATATAAGGTCCTTGCACCGAGCCACAGTTAATATGGCATGGCATATGTGGTCTTCATGATATTTTTTTGGCAAAATGCATTCCATTTTATTTTGTGCACAGAGTAGAAATGAGAAGGATTGATACAGATATATTTTTAAGATCAGCTGTTTGAGAGACATGGTCTATTGTAATTAATGTCTGATATTAACAGCTTACCGTCAAAATCTAAAAATAAAAACATATACACATGTAGTATTTATAACAAACAAATTTCTACCAAAATACACTTCACTGCTGAAGTTAAAAGTTCAACTTTTTCAATCCGCAGCTTTATAAAGATCCAATTCTGGGCCAATATACATTCCAGCGAATACTAAAAAAGAGCAGTGGCTCTTCCAACCAAATTGAGAACCAGTACCCAAACATTAAAACCATGCAATTTCTGTGAAAAAAGTTATGCTGATATTTTAAATGCCATATTTTCAATTTTTACAAATTACCAGTAATAGCCTTGGAACAACGGCAGCATTTCTTGGCGAACAGCTCTCCATAACAATCAGCACAGTACGGCTTGTCGTCCTTGGATGTGAACTTCTCCTTGGCCAGTTCCTTGTTACACTGGGTACAGGTGAAACATTCCCGGTGCCAGGGAGAGTTCTTGTAAGACACGCCTCCCTTGTTAATCACCTGTCAAAATTATTTTCTACATTAAAGAAAGGCAGGTATATACCCTTAAATTATGAATCTATAAAAGATTCAAACTTTTAAATCAAGAACTAGCTTTCAAGGACTTCCTTATTTTAGAAAACCATTGGACAACTAATTCATCAAATAATTGACAAATCTCAGTTACTGTAATACTTTACTACCCTAAAATAACATCAACAATTAAATCAAGTTCATTCTATCCTAAAACTGGAAAACTTACCCCATTACATTTAGAGCACTTCTGAGCAAACTGTTCCTCATAGCAGGGTACACAGACGGCCTCATTGTCCCGCGGGATGAAGCTCATGTTCCTGATAGGTTGTTTACAGACCATACACACAAAGCATTCCTCATGCCATTGCTTTCCCTTGTACTCGAATTTCTTCATCCCTGTCAAAATAGCAAATATATATAGTTAGACTACTGATGTAGCTAGAGCAGTTATCTCCCTTTTTTAAACACAATTGGAGGATTCAAAGCAAAATAAAAGCAATATAAGGGCAAATGGACAACATATTTACATTGTTTAAAACTTAAAATTAATGAAGAGAGAAGGGGAATGTATTCTATAGCAAAACAAAAAGAAAGTAAAATAGGAGAGGGAACTTCCCCTTGAAGATCATTGCTTTATCTACCTGCATAAATATCAATAAAATCAATGCAACAAATAGTTTTAGTTTTCAGAATCATAATTTGTTTATGATACATAAAAGTCTGAACATTCTGTCTTTTTATGTACTAAAGCAATGATCTTTTAAAAATAGACATCAAATAGAAAGAAATTATACATAACTTATCTTTGGTTAAATATTATTAGAAAACAAAATCACTACCATTCTGCCAAGAGCAATTAAAAATAAATACCAGCAGACAGAATTAACACACACTGAGAAGAACAAGAACTATATAGATGTGGAGACATCACCTTTCAGAATTTCCTTCCCAATTTTAATTTCAAAATTCATACATTACCATTAATACACATTGAATTTCATACATTTAGTGAAGTTTAGTCAAACAGAAAATTTCGCAGAAATATGACTGAAATATTGCTGACTCTATATTAAACAATAGTAATCAATCAATCAAACAGTAAATTGATTATCTGATTATACATTGACATTCAGTTACATTATTGAGGAAGGGGAGAGAGGTAATTTATATGTCTTCATCCTGTATTGTTTTGTTCTAACAGACAGATTTCAACATCATTAAGAAATTAGAGAATAAAACATGAAGTTTAGGATACCAGTGATGCGATAAATCACTGAATGCAATAAAACATGTAAAAGGCAATGTTCAGAGAGCCAATCACATGAGAGTCACATGGCTGACATGAAAGGAGCCAATCACATGATAGTCACATGGCTATTACATGAAGGGAGACAACTCAACACTGAATGGCGGCCATATCCAATATATCTCACCTACGGAGGCGAGTTGTAAAAGCATATACCAGGGGTCTGAGGGGTTACACTCAGAATGCAGCTCTAGAAAAAAAGGGAAATCATTAGCAATTAATATGGGGATTTTATAAACATGTTTGTTAAAGGGATGCCACACTGAAAAATATTTTTTCTTCGTATGTTTCCTATCTCTATACTATGTTTATCAAATACCTAGTACATGTATGCACTCAGTAAATCTTATCGTGAGTAACAATTCTGCTACCAAGTCCTAAAAATCCTCATGTAATTGTTAGATTTTATAATCAACACATGCCTGTGTTTCTACTGCAACCAAAGGGAAGCAACTGCTGTCATAAGAAAAAAACTAAACAAATGTGTAGAATGAGCAAAATCTCTGATAAAAACCTACAGAAGTAAAGACAACATAGTTAATATGTACAATTCTATATGCTACAATATGTACATGTATTACATTGTCAAGTAATTCTAGCAACTAGAATGGTTCTATATACCAGGGGTATAGGTACATTAAGAAGACAAGAATATACATTAAACCAAGATTGAGTACATGAGTTATTAAAATATCTATAATAAGTTTTCAGAGAAATACAATAAATTAATTGTCCTAGCAGCTAAAAAGACATTTTCGTTATAATTGCCAAGAAAATGTGATGGAGAACTTGTTGAAGAAAGAGAGATTGGATACATTATTTTTTTTTCTAAGGTCTAAATATACATGTATAAGTGCACAAGACAGTTTTTGAATTTGGAAAACTAATATGTAAACTATACAATGAAAGTTTTAAAATTATCCCAATTTGATAACTACTGCTTTGTCAAAGTACATCCATTAGGTATTAAATACATGTATGGTGTGCTACTTTTTGCATTTAAAAATAATTATTCCCCACTACTCTGAAACAGAGCTACCCCTCCCCCTCCCCTCAGAAGTAAATATCTCCTAGTCTGAGTGTGGCTCATTTTCTGAGTGAGTACAATTAAGAACCAGCCTGATGATCCAGCCGGAGAGCTAGCGTTAGAGAGTGCGCCTAGCATGCCAAGATTATATACACAAGCCAGATCTCTATATACCTTCTATGCCTCTCTCTTCATCTCCTGAAGCCACGGAAACAGAAAGTTTAACAAATTGCAGAAGAAGACTGCTAAATATTGCATGTACTTTTTATCATCTTTAACACCACATTGGATTTTTGCCCTATGCCTTAGGGTAAAGTTTTTTTGGCAAGTTAACATGCATGCAACATCAGCAGTGTGGCAACGCACTTTGAAAAAATTACGCACTTTGAAAAAATTTTTCAAAGTGCGTTAATTTTTGGGACAAGGTTAACGCACTTTGAAAAAAAAATTTTTTTTTCAAAGTGCGTTAATATGGACCATATTAACGCACTTTGAAAAGAAAATTCTGCATGGTTTAGTCAATATTCCTACAAATCTTAAGTATGATAATTTATCATTTGAACCTGATTTGATACTTTTTGTCCCCCGCTTGAAAAGTGGGGGGTATTAATTTGGGTCAACCTGTCCGTCTGTCCGTCTAGCTGTCCGTCCATCCGTCTTTCTGTAACGCTTTCGTTTCCACACGACATCTCGACAACCCTTTGAGCTTTTGCAATGAAATTTAACATAACAGAATCCCTGTGGCCTTAGAAAGACCCCTTTTGAATTTGGGGTCAAAAATACAACATCAAAGGTCGTAAAGAACTACGAATGATAGTATTATTCTTCCGCCTATCTATAAGTCAATTCTCAAAAGTTAACATCTTGGAAGGATTCTCAAATTTTTTATGCATATTTATATGAATTTTCATAAAACCTTACTTATTTGGGATACCAAAGAGAGATAAATCTATAATTTTGGCAAAACTTGTGTTTTCCACTATAGAAATCAACGGAAAACTGAAAATATTTTTTAAACAACCCCCCCGTGAAACAAAAATTCCTTTTTACAGATAATATGGACTGTTATTTTACAAATTTATGCCAAAGCTTTTTGTGTTTCACAGGGGGGGGGGGGGGGCATATGTTTATATAGACAAAAAGCAAAAAAAAATTCTTATTTTTCACCAATTTTAAAGCTATTTAAAACTAAATAATTGTATTTTATTAATTTATATATGCTTTATTTATTTGCGTAAAACATGAGAAAAGATATTAGATACATGTTAAATGAACAATTCCTATGAAAATATCATGTAAGTTAAATACCTGGAGGTTAACAGAGAGATTATCAGATATGGTATCAAATTAACATCGAAAAGCAGACAGGTACATAATATAATATTCTGATTTTCCTGAAAATGAACATAAATAGACTTTGAGATTTAAATTAACAAAATTTCGATTTACTACAGACTTCCGTGTACAGTGCTTATATTGTATTTAGAATGCTCTTTTTTCAAATATCATTGACACTTAAGTTTACGAGTTATAATAATAGATACATCTGGGTGGGAATGATAAAGAGTTGAGCTGATAGACCTTAATTCAGCCAGTCTTTTCTTCGTTGTCCGTTTCTAGGTTTTCTTCAATCCATCAGTTTTTAGAAAGAAGCACATCAAAGTAAGGGCACCGCAAAACGGAGCATTCCTTCCCAAAAAGCATGTTCAGTAAATCAAGGCAGCATTTGACATCGATCGCGATACAAATTACATCAATTCCACACAGAAAAAAAAATAACATACACATAAAGTAATAACACACATAATCGCATAACTATATCCCATCATACGTTGCGAGGGGGTAATACTGTTGTCTATTTCTAAAATATAAGTCTAATTCCTTTTGTTTCATGAAAATTTTTTCAAAGTGCGTTAAATGTTTACATGGTGTAAAATTATGATGTACAGTCTTAACGCACTTTGAAAAAAAATTTCAAAGTGCGTTGATTTGGTCCCAAATTCAACGCACTTTGAAAAATTTTTTCAAAGTGCGTTAACCTGGTCCCAAAAATTAACGCACTTTGAAAAATTTTTTCAAAGTGCGTAATTTTTCAAAGTGCGTTGTAACACAGCAGTTTATAGTTTTATTGGATCATTACATAAAATGTACGTAATCTGATCATAAAAAAATAACAGCAACTAAAAAAAAAACGGCACCAATCATCAACTGAAAGAAAATTATCAAATTAAATCAACCTGCCAAGCTAACACCATGAAGTTATCTCCCTTTGACCTTCAACAAAACAATCATGCTTTTCTGTTTATCGTACCGGATTGTCCCGAGACAAAGCCTAGAAGTAATATTAGAACCAAACAGTTCTTCATAACACATAACTATCAGCATTATAAGGAAGCACATTCCTCTTCCAAACCTGTCACTAATGAAATAATAATTCAAAACTTATTTTAGTGTACTGTGTACATAAACAAGACTTTTGAATCATTTTAACGGAATCTGCTCTTATGGCAATTACAGAAAATAATTCTTCATTTTCAAAATTGAAGGGTCTGCTTGTTCAAAGTAGTTTCATCATGATTTTAATTGATGGTCAGAAAGTGCTTATACCTCCTTTAAAAGGTTCTCCGCAGCCATCGCAGCGAGCGGCGAAGTTTTTGTCGTGACAGTCGGAGCAGTAAATGTTGTCATTTTTGGGAGCAAATGGCTGATCCACCAGTGATTTCTGGCACTCGCAGCACTTAAAGCAGAATTCATGCCAGTGGCGGTCCTTATATGAGAGATCCTGAAAACACAAAAGCCAAAATAATCGTTTGAAACCAGATAATTTTAATCAAATCTTCCGCTTTCTGGCAAGGAATTAAACAACTGCCGGAGAATATTTATTAACTATAGTGTCGAAAATAGTACAAAGAGATAAGTGTCTGTTTTCAGCTTTTACTGTGCATCAAACTGCTTTGGTTTAATAATAAAATATATGCAACCAAAACTGATAACAGCATTTTTACTCAATACACACTTGAAGAAGATGCTATCGAACCTATCTATACATTATGTTCCATTACAATACACCAATCTATTTCCAGCTTCCAAGTTTTCTTTCTGGGCCAGACAGTCATTAATTATTGATAATCTGCCCACTCTGTATAATCGACCTTATCAATTACAAAATTGCGTGTTTGCTCAATTTCACAATGTGCAGCTTAAATTCACAATGCAGCTTTACTTTTTTTTCAGCTGATAAAAATTTTAATAAATGGAGTGAAAATTTATGGCTTTGTAAAAATTCTCTGCAAGGTGACTCACTCAGACTTGACAAACAATTTACAGATTCAACCAGGATAAGTGTGTTTACTCATTGGAAGTGCAGGTGCACTATGTGGTCATTATACACACAGTGCACAGAGGTCATAAAAGTCTGTTGATAACAGCTCACTGACCACAGAGTATAGGGACCTAACACAAACAGATTACAACTGTTAGCTGGTATAACCTCACCTCCCCTCCACATTCCAGACTTCTTACTCATTGTGTGAAGACTTGACTCAACTTTGGCAAAACATGAAATTCACGGAATGTATAATCAACAAAATTATGTAGGTTCATTAACTCTTCTTTAATCTCCCTAACATCTGCGCTCATTTTCGGATATCCAGTTAATAAGATTTTTAATGCATCAATGTACACTGTCTTTTCTAATACCATTTTCTGAACCAGAGCCATCTTTACCCCCCGTATCATAGAATTTTTGCGAAAATTATGAGGGTGAAAATTCACACAATGCTTGCAGTACATTTATGGCAATTTAACAGAATGAAGATCAAGTCTAAGTGTAGTGTGTGATATATTGTACGTAAAACATATGGAGGTTACAAACAGAAGCTTGCGAACATTCCACACAAATCGCTCTCAAGCTGTGTTAAAAGACTGCTGATGACTCCCTGCATGCACTGTTTGGTTTATTAATACTGGCTAATTTGGTAGTGTCGATAGAATGAATGGTGTGCTTTTTCTATGTTTTTGCCTATATGCAGCTAATGTGCAGCAGGATTTATCATAATAATTGAAATCTGCAGACTAAATACTTAGTACAAGAATAAAGCTAAGCTCTGCATTCAATATTCATGTGACAGTCTTAATTAAAAGAAAACATTACCTGAACCTGACATACAAAACTGCACAGCAAAAGGCTTGTACGAATCTTCAATCTTGTACATGACATTTTAGTAAAAACACTTTACACTAATATTCATAGTATTCAGCGTGAATTGAAGATTTTGAGGCACTTAATGTAAACAATCGATCTGTCTTCTAAAGATGCAATGTTAATGATGCAAAATCATGTGTAGGTGGGCCATTTATAAGTCACACATATTTTTCTTTGGGCACAGCAGAAAAAATGGTAATAAGAATTTCATACTGATCTTTTTGTTCAGTGTTCATTACTGATGTTTCTCGTTATTCTGTTTTCCATCCCTATCTTTTAAAGTACATGCTGGGTGGTAGTAAAATTTATGAGGTCATCTCCTGATGATGCAAAATATTTCCCCATAGTATTTCCCTGTAAAACTATGGTGAACCACAGGAAAAAACTCAACCTTTCCCAGATTTAATCCTAAACCACAGATAAAAGAGAAAAATGATGAACTCCAGAGTCAAACTCTCATCATAAACCAGACTTGTGTCAATTACTTTATGAGGTATTCATTTCTTGAGCAAATAAAAAGATTTTTGATTGTCAGGTTCCCACCAGCAAAAATCTAGTACTCATTTTACGCAATTCAATCTTAGTGCAGGATAATGGCAGGATTCAGTTCATAGCAAATAATGAACTGACTTTTTTTCTCTTATCAAGAAATTGCTGAAACAAAGAATGCATAAACAATCAAAGTAAGGAGCCAAACAAATCAGAGAGAAGAAAAACCAACAGATAACCTCTTATAACTTCTGAAGTTATGACAAGAAGAGATACATATCTACACTGATCAAGAATTCCACTCAAACACCCTTGTCCCAGCATGCATTGCATGAAACAGAATGGCCTGAACACCCCCATGGTGCCATCTTCAGGGAACACTATGAGCGCCACCTTCAGCAGGTGGTTGTATAATACAGAGCTGTACAGCGGTAAACCTCAGCTCTCCTACAGATCTCCCGTAGATAATGCCTCAGCACAGCTCATCAAATGATAAAGTTTGACAAAATGTTTATGTAGAATGCAGACACTTTGTGTTGGGAGTTGCTGTGCTAACAGAAATTATGTAGCCAATTAAACTGTGTCTATAGCAATCTTTATATCTTGAGAGTGTTTAATTCCATGGCTTTTATACTGAGTCTGTAACAAAAACAACTGATTCTGACACAAGGGGAAACCTTTTTTCTGTAGCTGTTGTGAAGTGACTAAAATCAATAAAAGATGAAATTTGATAAAAATGTCAGCTGTTAAAGATTAAATATTACAGTGTACAGAAAACAAAAACTTTCAAAAATCACATTGTCTGAGTAAGGGTGTGTGAGTGTTTGTGTTTTTACATTTCATATTTCAAATAACACAAATTTGTGCACATTAGATATTATGCCAGCAAATCTTACTGAATCACAGCCCAGATCCTTTAACATAAACAGAAAAGAAGGAAATTCTATCATAAGAATGAATATTAGTGGCCATAATTATTTCCTTTCTCTTCCTTGTAAAATGTTAATAGCCATTCTCTGTAACCACTTAAACTTTGTTGCCACGCATGGTCACCGAATTTGATGAAACTTCACCCATGCTTAGTACTTGACACCAGAAACAAATATCAAACAAAATTTCGTTGCTATGTGGCTCGGTTGCTATGGCAACAGCCGGAAAAGTTTGAAAAATCTTGATTTTCAGCCACTTTAAATCTTGACTGTGGCTTAATAAAAACTAGAAAAAGCAAACAAACCATTCTCACAAAAACATGACACCTTGATGTCACTTATACTGTGAAGAAACTGTTTAGAATATATCTCTAAGTAAGTGGTAACCAAGGGTACATTTGGAATACATTTAAAATGCTGAAATATTCTGAAAAAACACTCCGAATTCACTAATGGTAGGTGTTACATGCTCAAACTCAATCAACGACTTAAGAAAAACAATGAAAATGTTTGACCTTAAGTATATAAGTATAAGCAATATTATTCTATAAATAACTTTTATGGTTGCCATGGTAACACAGTGTAACCATGCAAAACCAGTAATTAAGATTGGGTTAATGCTACTGTCTTGAGGAAAAACATGAAAATTCAAGACTGGCAAATATGCATCCTTAGGACCTTGCAACACCAAAACCATAAGAAAAATTGGGTATAATTGCTACTTTGCAGTGTTACCATGGAAACAAAGTACCAGTGCATAAAAGTGAATTATTTTTCGCTGCATTAAGAATTAAATTGCCATTTAATTAAGAAACAAATTAAAGGACTCAGCTTGAATAATACTTATCTGTTAGAACTGAAGTTGAATATCATATATTGATAAAATTTGATGAATAAAACAACACTGTTGCTATGGTTACCAAGAAGGGAAAATGTTCAATTTTGTGAACTTTATATCAATATTAAACTCTATGTGCCAACTTCTTGCATCCACTTAGAGATTGGATGATAGTCAAAAATAAAAGTCAAGTTAGCTGTTAATACATATCAATCATAAAAGTTTTGGGAATCTACATTTAAGGGTACGTATCCAAGGAAAGAAAATATTTTTCAGGGTTTTAAGCATATATTTTCTGCTTATTTCCATAGCAACGCTCTATTTAAAGAATCTAATCTGATTTTTTTCAAATGGGAAAACTTGGAGCACACCAACATCTTATAAAATTGACCATTAGTTATGAGGAAATGTGCTTTTTTTAAAAGATAGGATCAGATTTAAACATACTGAGTGTTACTTTAAAGGCTGTCTGTGGTAGAAAAACCTTGGCAACCATTGCCAACCAAAATGAAATATCATATTTTATTCTTGGTTTATGTTTCAAGGCACTTTTTTCTATTATTTGGTCACATTTCATCCTATAATTGCTTTTTTTTTTACGTGTATGACTTTATAAAATTCAATGAATATTTTTTTTTACTTTTGAATACTTTGTTACCATAGTAACGCATGTAATAGTTGATTTACCGAACATGTTCATCATGCATTTGAGACATTTGACCTTCAACTTTTGGAAACAGTCATTGCCAATTGTTTGCTTTGCCACAAATGTTAACAATGGGACTCTAAACATGTTAAAAAATGCCATTTCTTGAGATTTAAGACATGTTGCCATGGTAACTATAAAACATAGCAACCAATGTTTGCCTGATTTCAGTTTAGGGTATCAATGACTTTTATCATAGAGAGTTTGGAGAAATTCTGAGACTATGCGTGCCACAGCTCCTATATAAAATTTCAAATCATTACAGAGAATGGCTCTTAATGCTTATGACAGTAAATACAGTAACTTTGTTGTAATAGTTAACTATAACATATGAACACTGGGCTGCACCATGAAATTCATTTCCTAATATACCTCCCCTAGGAATTCCATTATTTCATGATGCAATGCTCAAAATCAATACCAGACGTAATATCTACTCGACTTCACACTGTTTTGAACAATATGGTTGTAGACAATTGTTACCTTATCATTAGACACACTTCCATCAACTTTTTTATGCTCCCTAACAAACAGGAATCACTCAAAAAAACTCAGATGTATATGTTGGCACTATGAGATTTGGGTTACTGATGTCATGTAGATTCATGTTACAGAAGGAAAATAGAACAATGTTCCTATTTAATTAATAAAGAATCTCATTTTCTCATATAGTGTCTGAGTGGGTGAGGCCAAAAATAAAAATAGTCTTGTTTCCTGCTACCCGACCTACCCTATTTTTTTTGCAGCCGACCCTAAAGTTTTTTTTAGTTTTTGGGAAAAAAAATCAGGAATTTTGGAATTTCATGTTCGAAAACTGAAAAAAAATATATATTCAAGTGGAATTTCATAAAATTCTATGTTTTAAATAAAGACTTTCTTAAAATACCACTTGAGTTGTGCATCAAAAGACATGAAATTCAAATTTAAAAGGCAATATTGACCTGTGGCATGTTTAATTTGATGTTGTAATAGAAAATATCCAAAGAAACACCGCCAGAAAAAAATAAAATAAAAAACAAAAATAAAATAATTTCCCTACCTACCTACCCTATTTTTTTCGGGCTGGTAGCAGGAAACAAGACTATTATTTTTTTTGGCCTGATCTAAGGAGTTAGAAAAAAATGTCACAAAAATAACCCAAGGACACAACACAACTCAAAGTTCATTCCCTTGGAATTGGGGTGGGGTGGGGGTTGCAATAGAGGTTCTTCATATACTGCTTATTCATAGGTATACAGAGAGTATGGGCTGGGTACAATTTGCCTCCCCCTTATAATCTTCCACTAATTATGGAATCTGATGTATCACAATATATAAATAAGAAGATTATCACCAAGCTTATAATTTTTACAGACAGAAAAGAAGTTGTAGGCCAACCCACAACTTGGAATAATTTGCCAGCTAGCTGTCTTCTCTGACATTGTTTAACAGCTAACCATTCAATTCATTATAAGAATTTCTCTGTTTTATTTTATTATTACTGGCAGTTCCTTTTCCTACAAAACACAGGCATTGAACCCACAGGAGTCTGTTCCAGCATCTAACAGAACAAAACACAGAAAACATTACATCTGCACTTTGTCTAAAACTTGCTTCTAACTCAAAAATGTCTTTAGAATTTTTTCTTTCTCATTTCAATATGAGCATGAGATTAACAAAATCTCTTGCATACAATAAGATAAATGGTCTATAAGCTTCCAAGAAAATGTAGAACATATCTGCCATAGTATTGAATATGTCTATCTTTACACCAAATGCATGAGCAATTAATTTCCTATGTCTTCCAGACAATTAAAATTTCAGTATTTTACATATTCTCCAAGCTTCTGTCAGTTCCAGTAATGTTCATAAACTGCTTATGCTTCAAATTTTGTGAGAAAAAATGTTAAGTACAGTCTATTTTCAATCTCTTGCTAATTGCATATTTGCTGCAATCAATGAACAAGAAAAAAGAATTCAGACATTCCAGCAGATTTAGCTTGCAGTAATCATTGGGTACAGACCTTGTAGTCGGGTCCTATTGGTTTTTTACACTCCTCACAGTTGTGGGCATACAGTTCCTGGTAGCAGGGGATACAGTGGGGGTTCTCGTCCTTGACGATGTAGCGACAGGCCACCAGTTTCTTGTCACAGTTGTGGCAGGCTAAGTGATCCTTGTGGTAGTTCTCATCCATAGCTTTAGTGTACTCTCCAGAAAATATTAACTGCAAAATAAGTAGAATTTTTATAATGAGATTTGTGCAATAACTTGCAGTGATGTGCAAAATCGGAGTGTGTTTCCAAATCAATGTTCTCCAAGAAGAATTAAAAACGAGATGTGAAATATGTACGTAGTTGGATCAGTGAGAGCTCACATAGCTCATGTGTACAAGTTCCACAAAAGATTTCCTTAAGTCATTCTAGTGGTTTATGTATAGTACTTACTGGTACATATAATGATTTCTGAACAAATAACACATATTATACACCCAATATCCTTATCCAATGGTCTCCGATGTATATGTATTCAACATTGTTTTTGGTCAATGAATAGAAAACCAATGAAGTACTAAATGGACTAGATGGACTAACTTAAATATCGATCTAACACAGAATTACATGTACAATAAAAAACACAAAATCACAAACATAAAATCACAAACAAATACTAAGAATTCACTGCCTGTTCCGATTTTTTCCTTTTATAGCTGATAGCAAATGAAACAAAAAGTCACAATATCCGTGAAACAACTTCCTCCTAAAATCAACAAAAAACGTGCTATGTGCCATGAGGACATAAGCCTTTCCCTTAAAAAATATTGTCCATCTCAAGCGATTTGTGTGATGAGACATGTAAATCATGAAGTTTTTTTTTTTTTTTGCTGTGGCTGCCACAGAAAATCCGTTAATTTGGAACAATCCTACCTTTGCCGAGGCTGATGTATTGTGATTTCGTTATTAATGAGATTTTTTCTTTGCACTATAGCTCTCCTAAACTTTATAAGTTGATCTTGTTAAAATAGCTTCTGGATATAAACACCCTATCATTTGTCAGTCAGAACTGCTCTATAAATCTGCATCAACTATTTTGCTGCACATTGCAGACAGTTACTGCAAGCTTACGTAACCATGGAACCTAAAAATGATGATTTATATACAAAGGCCATTTATAGGCTTTGTATTATTGTATTATTGTATTGATAAAAGGCTGTCCATACTCTTGCACAACCAAAATAGCTTTCTTACATCTAAAGGGAATTCCAAAGGATGTTTATATTTCCTAAGATTTTGGTAAATAATTTTTAAAGAAAAGGAAACTAACTTGCTATTTTAATGTCCATTTTTTCTGGTTATGAGTTTCAAACATCCATCTTAGGTATTTTAATTGATGATAAAATATTAACAATGAAATGTACATTCCATTCATTTAATGTATCATTTAATCAACTTCCTCTAATCCAGCTAAGAGATGTTAAACAACTTACATATTCAGCAGATCCTTCTAAATTACAACCTTTTAAGCACTAAGTAATGACTTGAGTCTGAGACAAGCTTGAGCAATCAGATATTGCCCCTGACTGCCCACAAAGTCAAGTCATTTAAGGTCCCTCCATGTGAAGATGACTCCCCGCTGAGTAGTAAGAATTCCCCCTCTCTCATAGAGCACCTTCACCACAAAACCCCATCTGTTTAAGATTCTGATTGCCTAATTATAACTAAGAACAGTAAGGGTAGAGTAATGGCACATTAGATCTTTCAGTGCCTGACTTTTGTGTCCCCCTGTAGGACGTGTCTTACAAAGGTACATGCATGCTTCGCTGTCAACTTTTTAAAATAAAATCTCTTCCCAAGATCAGAGGAAGAACTGTTAATTTAATGTTAACAAATGAATTAATGGTTTTAATTTTCTACAAGCTTCTAATTCTGTTAATCAGTTTTCATTCCTTAAAAGATAGTCAAATGAATTTAAAATATGTCCCCATACAGAAATGAATGAATTTTTCATTCACATGTTAAAAACAAATAATTTAAGAAAAAACATTTTTAAAATAATCATAAAATGAATTTCTCAAAATTAAATCTTATGAAAAAAAAAAAAATCAAAATTGAGTAAAGATTCCACAGAATCTAAGAACATCAAATAAGTTAAATAAAATTTGTAAATGTTCCTTACCTACAGGAAAATCTTTTGCTTTTTAATTAGCAATCAGACCTCAGTGAAACGAAAGTGAAAAGTGAAAACACTGAGGAGACTAGAATCTCTTAATCAAAGCTTAGACAGACTGAGGGGTTTTACTTCTAAATTAGTCCGGGAAAAGTGAGCACTTCAAATAGTGCCGTGTGCAAAATGCAGGAGTGCAAAGTATTAGGAAGAATTCCTGCAAGCTCTATGATTTTTCACAGAAGCATCTTACTATGAGATGGCTACTTGCGTAGATTCTACAGATTTATTAATCTGTGTTTATCAATATTTAGATAGCAGAGTAGTAACGGTTACATTACAAGATAATTGATAACTGCTTTGAGTATTTACATTTTGTCTGTGTTCAATGCAACATGTCAGTTTCCATATTGCTGTTGCTTGCCATTAATCCAATACAATTAATTCTGCAGACTGCATTGACGTTAGCAATCACGAATTAGTTCTAATAAAAGCAAACATTTAGGAATACCTTGTAACAATTACATTTTTACCATATGTATTTATATGTTTACACTGTTTCACCTTCTAAATAATTATATATATATGTATTAGCAAGATGTGTTTGTGAATTTCATACTGATACCCCTGTATGGCAGCTTCTGCATGAGCTCTGGCAATTTAAAGGTTGAATTTTCTCATATGCACATCAAACTCCAAAGGACAAGGTCAAAATGTTTGTACTCAAAGGAAGGCCTTGTTACAAGGAATACATCTGTGAAATATGAAAGCCTTAGTTCTAACTGTTCAAAAGTTATGGCCAAGGTTAAAATTTTTAAAAAGTGGGTAATAACTCTAAGGTCAAGGTCAAACGGTCCAAATTATATATAGTTCTTATCAAAATGAATACTTAATATGTGAAATTTGAAAGCCCTAGCTCCAACTGTTCAAAAATTATGGCCAAGGTTAGTGTGGGGTTTTTTTTTTTGTAAAAGTATGTCAAACTCCCAAGGTCAAAAGGTAAAATTAGGTGGTACTCAAAGAAAGGTCTTGTCACAAGAAATACACCTGTGAAATATGAAAGCCATAGCCCCACCCACTAAAAAGTTTTGGGCAAGCTAGGTTAGAGCACATGGATAGACAGAGCTAGACAGACATTTGACAGCAAAAACTACCGGGTATGTACCCCTGAAACTTCGTTTAGGGGGACATAAAAAAGTAAAATGCTTGTAAATTCAAACATTTTTGTTTGTTAAAATTACGCTCTTTGAAGTCATTTGAAGCAGAGAATAATTTTCAAGAGTTTTGGTATGACACCTATTAGGACATGAGAAAAGAGGGATTCTTTTAAGCTAATCTTGTGCAGAAAAATTGAGCTTCTGTTCTCTCGTTGCACAGATTTTGTACACTTGATTTCTCCTTGTGTAAAATATCTGTAAAATGTTAAGTTATAAAATGAGTCATAACTAACATTCAGTTATACAGATTATGTAACTAGATGTTTACAAAATTTATTTTGTTGACAGAAATGTAATACTCATTGAGTCATTGGTGGTTACCTAGGTAACATGACACTTCTGTATTATATAGAATCCATATTCCTTTTCAATATTTGCATATTGTTTCATCTTTTACCAAGATTAAAGTCTATATTGACAGACAACACAAAGTGAGACACCATATCAAGCAAACTTAATGGGCGTTTTTTGGGTATCATTTTAAATGTTAATTTATACATGTAGAAAACATTTATCACCAGGTGTACAGCTGCAGCAAGTCCTGGTGTTCACATGATATATTTCCAAAGGTGTACTATACCCAGGGGCCGATCCAGGAATTGAAGTTAGAGGGGGCACATATTAAGTAGGCCGGGGGTCTGGGGATCGCAAGTTGAGGCCCCCAGTGGGTCCAGGGCAAAGCTCTGCAGGGGCCCAGGGGGCAGAGCCCCCTGAAGCTCCTGGATTATAGAGATTTTGTAGGGTATAAATGAGGTCTACTAAGTAGACATTTTTACATTTTCAAGACTAAACGATGATTTACGATAACTTTTGACAATTTTAGGGGGTGCGCCCCCCCCCCTTAAATCTGCCACTGATACCAATTTAAGTAATTAAAATTTTCATTAGCATTAGATGTATTACATGTAGAGTGTGATGACCGCTTTTCCCTATGTGACCCCTCGTACCTATAATACTGTATAAACCATTATCCAATCTTCAGTTTCCATCTTATAGGAGTACAGCATTATTTGGCAACATTAAAACCTTCAGCACGATAATGTGAGCAGAAAAAAGATCCATGTTGATTCCTTACATATACCAGACCTTCCCCAATCACCCACCCTACACATTACATAGTTTTATCAGTGTACTGAATCTTCTGTACTTCCTATATATCAATTGTTTTCCTATCGATACAGCAGCTGACAGTTTGCCAAAGGGTTAATAAACACATTAATGACCAAATCACCATCTATAACTAGGGATACTTCTCTGGTTTATCGTCATCAAATTCTTCAGTGTGCAAAGAAGATCAGCCTCAAAACAACAACAGTGGTTATGTGGAACCCTGATCTAAGATCTACAGATCTCTCTGTAGTACTTTACATATAGATGATTCATATAGACCTGAGAGCATTGCTCTTCTTAAAGGGATGTAACTCTTCTCCAGTTACCAGAAACTTGTGATGACATACATGAAGAAAAAAAAAATATCAGAAGTCTGCATCCTTAAAAACAAAATGATAACAGGCCATTCACCTCTCTCAGTTCAAAAAGACCAAAATTTTGGCAACACCTTGACCCAGTTTGTTGTGAAATTGGTCCTTCAAGTTATAAACTGAAATATTTACGAGAATTTAAGTAGAATTAAAGTGGTCTTGCTCTGTGATATATGGAATGCCTGAGAACTCTCTTTGAAATAAGTATATAACACTTCAAGTCCTTTGCAACAAGTGGTCAGATAGATAAAAGAAAATCTCAAATATGTGTCAACTTTTATGACCCCAAATGGTCACAATGTGTTAGTGTTCATTCCTTGTCATATATTATTGTAAAATAAAGGTCTCTGTACACCCATGATACA